GGGTTCCATGTGTGGGGAGCAGGGGCTGTGGGTTCCAGGTGTGGGGAGCAGGGGCTGCGGGTTCCAGGTGTGGGGAGTAGGGACTCTGGGTTCCAGGTGTGGGGAACAGGCACTGTGGGTTCCGTGTGTGGGGAGCAGGGGCTGCGGGTTCTAGGTGTGGGGAGCAGGGGAGGACGAGGCACCGGGAGAAGATGAGGGGTGGTGGTGGGACTGGCAAGGGCCGGAAGGGGTGGCAAGGACCTGGGGGCCAGCAAAGCCCTCGCCTGTGGCAGCGATCTTGACGCCCTCAGGCTTGCGTTTCTCCCTTCGTGACCCTTTCTCCCGGCTCCCTACTCCTGCTTCCGAGATCGCCTTCCAAACAGACCCCCGGACCCACGCCCTGGTCTGAGGCTCTACTTTGGGAACCAGAACTAAGACAACGCCTGCACTCCTTTGAGACAGAGTGAATGCGTGGACGGGGGCGCCTGACAGCGAGGGTGTGACACACGGGAAGCGCTCACTACATGCCAGCTGCCATCACCTCCATCACCACCTCTGCCATCATCTCTGCCACCTTCACTTCCATCATCACCTCCACCACCATCATCTGCACCATCACCTCTGCCACCATCACCTCTGCCATCATCTCCATCATCACCTGCACCATCACCTCTGCCACCATCATTTCCACCATCGCCTCCATCACCACCTCCTCCATCATCTCTGCCATCACCTCTGCCACCATCACTTCCATCATCACCTCCTCCATCATCACCTGTACCATCACCTCTGCCACCATCACCTCTGCCATCTCCTCCATCACCTCTGCCACCATCACCTCCGACATCATCTCCATCATCACCTGCACCATCACCTCTGCCACCATCATTTCCACCACTGCCTCCATCATCACCTCTATCATCTCTGCCACCATTGCTTCTGCCACTGTCACCTCCGCTATCACCTCCATCATCACCTCTGCCGTCACCTCCACCACCATCTCCTTCGCCGTCACGCCCACCACCACTGCATGAGGTCACACAGCGATGGTAACAGCAGAGTTGGAAGTAGAACCCCAGACTCCTCCCTTCCTCTAGCCCTTCCACGGAACTCAGGAAATAGGCTGCTGGTGGTGCACACCAGTGGTCGGATTACAGCAGGAACACACCTCAGTGCCAGAGCTCCACCTGATCAGCCTGCGAACAATCAGGGCAGACATTCAGCAACATCACTGAAAGCATGGTGGTTAATTTTTTGTGTCAACTTGGCTGGGCGACGGCCCATTGGGCAAATACCAGTCTAGATGTTTCTGTGAAAATATTTTTCAAACATGACTAACATTTAAATCAGTCAACTGTGAGCAAAGCAGTTACTCCGCAATGTGGGTGGGCCTCATCCCATCAGTCGAAGGCCTTAATAGAAAAGGACCACACTCCCCTGAGGAAGGGGATTCTGCCCGCGGATGGCCTCTGGAGCCCAGCGGCAGCGTCACCTCTTCTCGGGGCTCCCACTGCCTCCTGCCCTGCGGATCTCAGCCTTTCCTGCCCCCGTAGTCACGTGAACCAATTCCTTGAAAACAGATCTCTGTTTCTCTCTAAGTACACCCCTCCACACATATCTTTCTGGTTCTGTTTCTCTGGAGAAACCCATCTTAGCCTGATACTAAGTCAGTAGAAAATGCGAATGTGCTATAAAATAGCTTTGCAAATATTTCTTTTAAGCTGAGAGCCTTAAAAAACTGAGGACAAAATATCTCTTTTATTTATACAAAAGATAAATAACATCTAGCATCCTCACAAATAATATGGCTATCGTGGAATGGCCATATTCAAGGAGTAAAATATCAGCACGCGTACTCACCTTCGCTGCGTCGGATATGGAATCCCAGTTCCCCCCGGCGAGGGCGAACTTCCCACTGCCGATCCTGGCCAGGATCTCCTCGGGAGTGTCATCCGGGCCGTTGGCAAAAGGGGTGAATCTGCGTAATGAGATAATTTATGGCAATGAGCTTCCATTTTATGACATAAAATAAAGTTTACTAGTTAATATCACCACTTTGTTGTTAAAAAGAATACCTATTTGCTTTTCCCTGCTGTGCTGTGAATCGGGGATTCACGGTAAAGCAGAATTTATTTCCTAATGCTGTGACCATTTTCCTCCCTCGGTCAATGAGGCAGGTGAAGAATTCCCTGTGGACCCCAGGGTTTAGCCCTTCTAGACCCTTTCTGGTCGCGCAGGTGATGGCGTGGTCCAGCGGTTTGCCTGGTGATTCGGTTTCCATGGTGATGGTGTGGCACCATGGATGAGAGCTTGAGACTTAAAGTCTGAGAGACCCATGGTTGATCTGTTACCAACTCTGGGTTCTTTGACACATTAATTTTTTGAGCCTCAATTGCAAATACAAAGTGTACGCAAGAGTGCACATAAAATGCTAGCACGGCACTGGCAGCGTCTCAGTGTGTGATTGATGTTGTTCTCCCACCTCTGAGGGTGTGTAGATCTGCTTTCCCAGAAAAGGAATTGTGTGGATTCTAACAGCACTTCCTTTAGTGGCAAGGTCTGTGATCCAAGCTTTACGTAAAGGCAAAGTGAGTGTCAGAAGAATCGTGGAACAGCCTAACAGTGTGGCATCAGGAGGAAGCTGCAATTCCTTCCTTTGCTGTTGCCGTCCTCAGAGCACAGCTCTGTGTTCCTGAGCCACGCTCCTTAGCTGCAGACACGACCTACCGATTACGAGACACCTACGAAGCAGGCCATTCCATTCGTTCTTGTGACGGCATTTTGTCCATTTGCTACAGCAAGCAGGATTGGATGGCTCTGGTCCTATTTTTTTGTCTCCATTTAAGTATTTCATAAACTTAACAATGTTAGGAACCAGTGAATCTCACACGATCCTAGACCTTCCTGCCTGGCAGGAGCCACGGAGTGTCCTCTTTTCACCCAGAGGTGAGAGAAGAGAGGCCGATTCCTGCTGGGGGTTTAGCCCAGGACTCTGGGCCAGTGCAGGGTAGAGCTCACACTGGAATGAAGCATCCGGACGGCAGGCCCAGGCCTTTCTGTACGTGTCTCCTCACCAGGAACCGGCTCATGCACGGTCGATGCTACGGAAGCCTGAGAGCCTCCCCCAGGAGCCTGGGAGTGCTGGCATGTGCGTAGTGTTTGCCCACACTTGAACACCAGGTCGGGCTCCTGCCCCGTGCACCCATGGCAAGCACGCCGCCACCCTTACCCCGCCAGCATGGTGTACAGCAGGATCCCCAGACTCCAGACGTCACACGCTGCATCATACCCTTGACGTTTCAGGACCTAGATGGGGACAAGAGACCACGGATAAGAGCTTCGCTAAGGAAACTGGGGTTTTTAGCATGTTTCTCCAACGGCACCCTAAGCTGGGGGGGAGGGGCCCGGCAGGAGGACAGCGCTGTGTCTTCAGTGAGACCGTCGTTAGGAACGCAGGGCGGACCCCACCGTGCTGCACTCGGTCCCCTCGCAGGCGGCCACACAGCGAGCCACAGCTCTTGGCAGACGCATGGCCGACTGAGCAGGAGGCGCTTAATTTTCAAGGCGTGGGAATTTTTTTATCACGGTAAACTATGCACAACATAAAATTTCCCATCTGCACCCCGTGTAAGCGTCCAGGTCGGTGGCATTAAGAACGTTCTCACTGTTGTGCCACCATCACCACCGTCTACCTGCAGAACACTCCCATCTTCCCAAACTGGAGCTCTGTCCCCATTCAACTCCCCAGCCCCTCCTCCGCCCAGGCCACTCTGCCTCTGTGACACTGACTCCTTGGGGACCTCTTATAATGTGACTGGCTCACTTCACTTAGCATGACATCTTCAAGTTCCGTCTGTGTTGCAATGTGTGTCCAAATGTCCTCACTTTTTAATGCTGACTAGAATTCCAGTGCATACAGTTGATGCGCGCACACTTGTTTCCGTTCATCCGCTGCTGGGTCACTTCTCACCCCCACCTTTTGGCCGCCGTGAACGACGCAGCTACGAACGCGAGCGGACCAATACCTGTTTGCGTCCCTGCCTTCAATTCTCTTGGGCGTAAGTGGAATTTCTGAATTACATGATAGTTCCATGTTTAATTTTTTGAGAACTGTTGGAGCAGAAACATGTCACTGTATCCCAGAACTGCATCCTTCAGGAGTGGGCGATCCCCGGATACACTTGCAGTCGAGCAACGATACAGAAGCAGTAGGTGCTCGCAGATTACTGCAGACTGCCGGAGGCAGCGTTACTTGCGCAGTCGGGAACTGTGTTCAGTCTCCGCAGAGACGCGGGCAAGAAGCCTGTCCTTTCCTCTCTGTGTCCTACCAGCGTGCGCTGTGACCCCGACGTGGTGCGTGTCCAGCCAGGACACGCTGAATGGATGGAGCTCTCGTTGGTCAAGTCCTCGCCTCATGATTCATGAGCCGAGTGATCTTTAAAAGTCGCTCAAACACATCGAGCTCATTTTTTCTGAATGTGTGGAAGGTGGCTGATGGTTTGCACCCCGTCCGCCTCACACGGTGTGTGGGAGTGAAAGTGGAACATATTGGTCAAAGTGCTCTGTAAATAGTGAAGCAAGGGAACACTCGAAGGCATTCTATAATCCACAAACTCAACGCCGGGGGAGACCAGAATGTGCCAGCTCAAAATGTCCCTCCCGGGTGTGAGCACGGAGCTGAAGGCAGAGCGGCAGCAGCAGACGCAGCAGAACCCCGGCCTCCCTGTTTGCCTGAGTCAGGACATGGACTTACGGGGACAAAAGGTGTCCCGCCCCTCTCCAGGGAGGACGCAGGTTAACGGGCCTGCAGCTGTGTTGCTGGCAGACTCTACCCACCAGCTCTTTGCCTTTCCTGCAGGTGCCGCCCCTGGAGACCCGGAGTCCTTCTCCTCCGTCTTGTCTCCACTCTAACAGCTCACTGTTCCTTGCCGAAGGTGCTGTATGAGCTGGGACTCAGAGCCACCCCTTTGAGAACAGCTCCTTCCCTGGGTGTCGCCGTGCAGATGTGAAATACACATGTTAATAAACCTTCATTTGTTTTTCCCCGTTAATCTGTTTTTTGTTTCAGGGGTCCATTCCAACTAAGCACCTATGAGGGTTAAGGAAAAATTGACTAGATAAGGCATTAACAGAGGCTTATAACCAGGTTATTTTGAAAGGGGCCACAGGTTGCTCGCGTGTCCGGATAACTCCTGGAACCCAGCAGTGGCCTTTCAGCCCACTCTGCTGGCCGTGTGTCCATCCACGGCGCACACAGACCTTCGCTGCGGCCCATGGCTGTGGGCTGCCCCTCAGACAGCTGCTAGACCCGCCACTAGGTGCCAGGCACGCCCTTCTCCGAGGACTTGGTGCGCTCGGCTCCGCTCACGCCAGCACGGCGCTGACACAGAATCCGATGTCTGCTTTTATTCCCAGCTCTCTCCTCCCCGTCCACCAGCACATCAGCCTCTGCGCTCCCCTTCCTCTATTCGCCATGGCTCAGGGGCTCACGGCTGCTTTTCTAAAAAGCAAGACACCAAACTTATCTTCATAAACATATCGATGACTTCAGAACCTAACGGAAGTCGTCCCCAGGAAACAGGAAAAGGGAGAAGTTCACAAGGTGGCCTTGCTGAGATTCTCTGACGTAGCCGCGGATTTATATGAGCTGCAATCACCACAGAACCCCAATATTCTTAAATCTGATAGCTGCTAACTTGCTTCTCTCAGGAAAAGCAATCTGGAGCAAGAACTGTGGTGCAAGGAGAATCGTAAACTTCACTGTCTCCCGTGGTGTTAGATGCATCCCCATCACAGAGCGCCCGTCAGCTCCGCGTCCTCTTGCACGAAGAGCGTGATGGCGTTATTTCTCACACCAACTTGGAACAAATATGCAGATTGGGTCTAAATTGTCTATAGCATGATGACAATTTTACATGACAGTGTCACCATTTGAAAGTTTTTCCAAATAGGGACATAAAATGATAAAAATAACTGAACAGGGTTGGTGGTAGATTCAAAGGGCTGGGAAGGGTCTCATTTCCGTTTCTTAACAGCACAGCTAAGTGTGTCAAGGTGCCTCAGGCATACCAAACCGTCCAGTTACTTTGCAGGCAGCAGAAAGCAGGGGCTGCTTAGGGACTGACGCCCGAATTCCCACTGGCTGGACAGCGCTTACCTCGGGGGCCACAAAGTTCACCGTGTAGCAAGGTGTCATCAGCAGCCCGTTCTCAGCGCGCAGCTGCTTGGCAAACCCGAAGTCGCAGATGCGGATGGATTCAGGGTTTCCAGACTCGTCCACGTACAGGATGTTACTGGGCTTCAGGTCTCGATGGACCACCTGGAAGGCAGGAGGCATCACACTTGACGTGGGGCCAGGATGGGCAGGAGAGTGGATGGGGGAGCGCTCAGAAGGTCGGGGGTCACCCTCGAACTGTCTGCTCAGGGTAGATCTGCAGCATAACGCGGCCGCTGTTTTCTCCGCACCCTGTGTTGGCCACTCAGGGCCGAGCACCCAGTGTTACTTGCAGGTACTGAATGGCATTCGAGCAGATGAGTAAGCAAGCACCTGTCTGAGATGCGGGCACAGCTCACTGCAGCTGTTATAGAAACGGAAACGCGGTGAGTTCGGGTAACGGGAATAAGAAGGTATTTAAAGATTATATTCGCTCATTAAGTATTCACCATGTGCCAAGCACTGTTAGGTGCTGGGGACGCACCAGTGGGTGGCACAGACCAGGTGGCTGCTGTCACAGGCACACTGACCCGTGGGGGGACGGGCAGGAGCCAAGTGCTCACGCAGACACTGCGTGATCTCACCTGTCCCCTGGGGACCGCCAGCTGTGCGGATGGGGCGCACACCTCGGAGCAGAGCGGACATTTAGAGCACAAGGCGATGTCTTCTGAGGGACACAGGGCTATTGTGAGGACATGTGGTGTGGCCTCGCACAGCTTGGAGGCTGAATGTCTCCATTGTCCCGTCAAATCCAGTGGGAGGACCGAGTGGGAGATCGAGCCCCACTTACGGAGGCCCCGAAGACAAGGAAGTGGAAGGCTCTGGTTTCACTCCACTTCCTCCCCTCATTCCACAGAAACAAGCTGCAAAACACATCATGCAAAGGGCTTCCCCTAGAGAGTCTGCCTGTTCTGGGAAGCCTGGAAGTGCTTAGCACCCCCCAGCCACGGCGGCCACACAAAACGAACCCCGGGGGGGCCCGGAAAGAAAGCCCCCCGGTCAAAAAAGAACAAAATTTAAAACCCAAAAACAACCAAAAAACGGCTGGCCAACAAGGGAATGCCGGGTCCCAAGAAGGGGAAAAAAAAATCCCCAAAACAAAAGGGGGCCAAGGGCCACCCCCCCCCCGGGAAGGGGGGTCTGGGGCTGAGAGCCGGGCTGAACCTCGGTGGCTGCGCACCCACGTGTGACCTCAGGCAAGATCCTCAACATTCCTGTGCTCCAGGCTCCGCACCTGCACCACGGGTGTGTCTGGGGTTTAGGAGCAGCTTAGAACAGAACCTGGAACACGCCCCTGGTTTGGCCCACGAGGGCCTCTGCTCTTGCTGTCCTTTCTGTCTACAGTGTCCCTTTGCATTGGCTGATGAATCCAACTTTACCTGTCGCAAGTAACGAAAATGCTAAATTTCCTTTTATCAAGGCCAAAGTATTTTTTTTTGCTAAAATTCATCCACATAAATTTAATTTATTAACATAGCTTCTGGATACACTATGTATACAAGTGATTTTAGACCCGTGAAGGGTAGCAGAATGTGTCACCCCAAAATATGCCACTTTGCCAATGAGGATTATTTGAGCTGAAGACAATTGAGAAGACACAGACGTAAGAGAAGCTCTCTGCCCTCCGGCTATTTGCCCAAAAGCAGGACACAAATTGGTAAAGGTGTCCCCTCCCCTCTGGGCCAGGAAGGACAGCAGTTAATCGCCAGGACAATGCCAGACCCCGGCCACCCTGGAGCCCCAGAGTCGCCCACGCGGCAAACCTTTCTGACCGGCCCTTGTCTCCCGGGTCCCTCACGTTCGCCTCCCACGGTTCGCTCCCCAGAAACTCGAGGTCCTTTCCCTTGTCCGGTCACTTCCCTGCAGACGCGCTGTTCTTTGTTGAGATGCTGCATGAGCCCGAGTCCCGACTGCCCTGTGAGCTACTCGCAGCGAGTGCTCCCAAGCGTGCGAGACGCACCTGTTCGTAACCCATCTGCTTCTCTCCCGCCAGCCTGTCTTTGCCAGAGTGACCCACAGGCCTTGGCCGGAGAAGCCGGGATGGGCAGGGGAATAGAGAATTTTTCCTCCCCTACACCCTCACTGAGGCACGGAAGGAATTCAAAGACAACCTGGATTACCAGCTCTAGAACCCACAAACTCCTCCATAATTCCAGCCCCCCACCCGCCCGCCGGGTCGCTCACCCCCTGGGAGTGCAGGTAGTCCATGGTCTTGGCGATGGTGCACAGCACGTCACTGGCCTCGCGCTCCGAGAAGCACCTCTGCCGGAGGATGCGGTCCAGGAGCTCCCCGCCGCGCATCAGCTCCATCACCAGGTACACGTACTTGCCGTCATCGTAGACCTGGGCGGGAGAGGGCGCACGGACCTCAGAGTCAAGGCGTCACCGCGGATGCCTCCCTGGGCCACTGGCTCCTGTGACCGCTCCGGAAGAGGCAGAAGAGGGGAGTGGGCGGGGGAGGCCGGGCTCTCAGGGTCCCCTGGGAGGGAAACGAGCAGATGGCCATTCCCACCCCTCTAGGAGGCTCTTTTTAGGATGAAAACAGCTTTAACATCCTCTGTTAAGCAGGCACCGAGTGAGCTGGGCCTGAAGAGCGCACAGTGGGATGTTTGGGCTTTTAGCTGAGATGAATCATCTCACACGCTTGCCCAGCCTCTCCGAGGCGGAGATATCTGGATGTTAAGAAACGTGGGAGTCGACACACCACCAGGCAAGGACAGCTCCCTAGGGCAGCGCTTCCCAAACTTCAGTGTGCACCGGATCCCGGGGGGTCCTGCTTAGTGCATGCTCTGCTCCCACATTTCCAACCGGCTTCCCAGGGATGGCTATGCTGTCGCCCCGCGGCTGGGCGCTGGGAGGGCGCGGGGAGGGCAGATCTGAGCCACCTCACCAGGGCAGGGCTGCAGCTTCCGTCCACGCTAGCTTTAGTCTCATGAACGTGGCTATTTTGATGCCTAGCTGGCATGTTAAGACCAGGGGCACACAGCAGTCACCATGCGTAAGGGAAGCCAAGGGAGTGTCAATACTTTTTGGCTCTGGGTGCATGATGCAGGGTTCATTTTGAAGTTCCAGGGTGAGGGGCAAGAGGGAAAAAACCGTCTCCTCTCTCCCCTCTGGACCCCCAGCCCTACACCCCGGCCTTTGTGTGGTGCTGTGGGGCCTCCCGAAGGGCTCAACGTGGCTGATTCCTGCTGCCCCTCCCCCCGCACTGGGGAAAGAACCAGCAGGGTCCCAAAGAGACCAGCGTCATAGCCAGGGCCCCCTCTGGCATCGGATCTGAGCCAGCCCCTCTCACCGCTTCCTTCCCTTCCATTTTCGTTATATTTAGAAATGGCAACGAGAAACACCTCCTCTAGGTTATAACGCACACGAGTTATGTCTTCCTCTCGGATGCTCAGGAGGAGCGGGGGGTGGGAGGCTGTAAAGGGTTCGAGTAAACACTCGGCACGTCAGCCCCTGTGGTTTAGATGTGAGCAGTAGAAACAGGCTCAGGCTCACAAGCCTGGGCAGGATGAGCCGCTGCTGAAGTGTGCAGAAATCTTGCACTAAATAAACGCTAGCTTTTTCTGTGTCCGTTGAACAAGCAAAAAGCAAGCAAACGTCGTTGCTGCACGGAGACCACTTACGTCTTTGAGGGTGATGATGTTCGGGTGCTGGCCGTACCTCAGGAGGATCTCGATCTCTTCCGAGGGGTCTCTTTTACTCTTGTCGATGATCTGGAACAAACGCACGCGCCACTGAGAGGCCGGCCCGGCCCACTCCCCGCCCCGACCAGGAGAACGTGAACTTGCCTGGAAGTCCACGCCGGACCTTTCTTTCCCAACGAGTATGAGATGGACATTTTACAAAATGCCTTCAGACACTAATTTTAAGATATTACAAAGTTGGGAGGTAAGGCAGGGGTGGGGAGCTCTCGCGGGTACCCCGACAACAGAACGTGCGTCCATCCACTCCGCGGGCCGCGGCTGGGCGGCCCGAGCTTTCGCTTCCCTCCATCCAAGATGAGCCTCCAGCCACCGCACGCCCCCGCTGCTCTGTGAGCCACACGCCGGCACCAAGGCGGAGTGGCGCTCACAGCTCTCGCCAAGGGACCCTGGGAAGGAGTGCAGGTGGCGCTGCTCCACCGCCTAGACACACACGAGCTCTGCCTCATCTCTGCCCCTCCGCTACTCAGCACGTGTGTCCAATGTCCTAGGGTACCAGGTAAAGTTGTCTCGCCCCACGGAAACAGATGGCTAATACCTCCAGAGGTACCTTAATCATGGCCTCTGCCCCCACCGCGGTGGGGTGGGCATGGTGGGGCCCCACGCGGCGGGGGTGGGGAACTTCCAGATCGCCAAGTGCGGCCCCTCGACCGAATCCAAACTTCATAGAACAAATCCCTTTATTGAAAGGATTTGTTCGGTAAAATTTGGATTCAGTCAAAAGGCTGCACTCAAGGATCCAGAGGCCACATGTGGCCCCAAGGCCGCAGGTCCCCATCCCGGAGGGGAATCAACAACATGTATGCTGCAAACAATGCTCGGAACGGAAGAAACCCCTTCCCGGCAGGGATGTGCTCTAGCTCTCACATCGGTTCCACCTGCTTTTAAATTGTTCGCTCCTTGGAGAACGTACAGTCATCTTACCGGAGTGTGGGGGTGAAAGGTCAAAGACTCTCAGTGAGCTCTGCATACCCCCTCGTGCTTGTCTCTGGATGCGCCAAGCTCGGGTGGCACTCGACCCACTGCAGGCGCTCTGTCCCTTGGCCCCTTCTTCCCCTCCCCCTCGCTGTTACAAAAACTCACCACAGTGTCAGTGCCCTCCCCGTGGTGGTTTTAAAGGACGCTTGGCCAAGCCCACCGCTCAGCTCTGATCGCGCCACTGCCCTGTGCTGTGTGCGTGCTCACAGGTGCACTTTTAGGCAGGTGGAAAAGTTAGCCTCCCTTTCTGGACACGAAATTTTCTCCTTCTGCTACATCTGATTCCACTTTTAGCTAGAGCACTAGGATTACCACTTCTATTCCCGACATAAGCCAACAGATAATTCATCGTTGTAAACCAGAGACGTTTTTAAAGGATCATTCGACAAGGAGGAGGGGTTCCTTCAAATGCCGAAGCCTAACTGGGTGCCGGGAGGCTTGTCCTACGCCCTTGGGTGGGATGCCAGCAACAGGGTGTCAGAACTCCAGCACCCTGACCACCTGTGGCCGTCCCTCTCTCAGGGCAATTGGAGAAGGTTAAAGTATATTCATGGACTTTTAAAAAAATTTTAGTAGCAGGTTCAATTTTTTTCCAAATACAGTTTCACGATGAAGTGCTGTATCCTTGGCTCGAGTCTGTTCTGTCACTCCCACGGTGGGCAGGATGCCGAAAGACAAGAGAGGAATCCCCGAGTCCTCTGCCAGGGACGACCTTCAAGACACAGGAAGTGGGAAAAGCAAACGCGGGCAGGTGCATCCTACTCTGCCACTTGTGTTAGAAACGGGAAAAATAATGTAAACAGACACATCTACTTCCCTGTGTACGCGTAAAATAGCCCTGGAAGGAAAGAGGAAAAACATTAACAACTTTGCCTTCCGTGGGGAGGGCGGCTAGAAGCTGGGGGGCTGTGGCAGGAGGTGACCCTGCCTTATTCTCACGTGTATTTTTTGAATTTTGAACCATGTGAACATATTTATTCAAAAAATTAAAAAAATTTCAAAATGTGTTTCATAAGCTGATATTTGAGAACAATATGTACTTACAAAAAATCTGAGATTAAGAATAACTGACTTATCTATTAACTCTAGAATTTATTTTATTTCTACAAGTTCTTTTGTCATAAGTTTTAAGAAAAAGTCAATTTTTAAAGATATATGACCTTAAAAATCCTGCTTACTTTAAAAGAAATTTTCAAATTGTAATAAAAGCACGCATGTGCAAATGTGAGGCACACTAAATCTGAACAGTTTGGAGGCATTATCTGGTTAATGTGTTATAATTTGATACACATTTGAGCATGCATGTTGATTTTTATTACATTTTAAATATCCTATTTAAACCTTTCTTAATCTTTCAATTGCTTGGCAGAACTCCCAAAGCACCTCTGCCAACAGTTGAACACCATAAATCAGATGTCCTCTAAAGTAGCTTTTGGGGAAACAAAGGAATGTAAAAGAAGATTCTAGGTCCAGGTCCCATGGGGCATGAGACTGCTGTTTCCTTTGCAGGGGAAACCAGCTGTCCTTCAGCCAACCTCTGGTTTGCACTCAAGGTGAGAGCACTGCGGTGGGCGTGGCGGCTCTGCCTGTGGCCACTGCGCTTGTTGGCACTTGAACTTGTGTGTCTGCAGGCTCAGCTCCTGGCGAGGGCCGGGAGGGTGGAGGAAGGCGTCCATTCCTCCCGGGAGGGCACATGGAACGGCGGCTTATGGCCCAGCCCTTGAGCCAGCTTGTCCCTGGCTGGGCCCTGGCTTCACTGTCTACTCTCACAGAGTAGGAAAAAAGAGTCCTAGCAGAGAAAGGGAGCAGGGAGGTGTGACTCTTGGTCCCCGAGCAGACAGCGCAGCCCGTGCACGGGACAGCAGGCCCAGGAGACACGTCTTGAGCATATGGTTCAGAACATCAGGGAACGAACTGTCGAGTGACCATCAGTGATTTCTTCTCTATGGGGTCGGATTCTTGGGATTGACATTGTCACACTTGTTTCTAATTAGAGCAAGCCCAGGGGGATTGAGGTCCTCATTTGAGAATAGTATTGTTTTATGATCTTTAGCACGCAACAAAACCGAGGGAGGAATTCCCCGGAGGGAGGCGTGTTTCCCAATGCGGGCTCCTCTCTCCAGGCTGGTGCTCAGATAATATCCACGAACCACAAGGAAGGGGCAGCTCAGCTTCCGCTCAGTCTCCCGTTCTCATCTGCACCCCGTGCGGAGCCCCAGTGGTCAGACTCTCACCCCGGCTGGTGAACAGGCGCTCCCCAGCGCCGCTGTCTGAAAAACCGCGTATTTCTACTTCCTTAGACACGCTCAGTCAACGCGTCTAAATACCCAGGAGGCAATTCTGGCCTGAAGGATGGATGGCAGGTGACAGGGATTTTTCTCAAGAGTGAGCACGTAGGTATGCGTCAAACACGTGGTAGTTCCTGGTGGCTGAAGTTGGTAAGATTTCACCACCCTCAACCCACTTTGCCTCCTCCTCTTTGGGCTTTGTATTTCTCCATCTTCCTTGTCTCTTCCGGGGCACTGAGCAACCTGCAGGGCTGGGCTCTGAGGCCTTGACTAGGGAGCTGGCGCCGTCGGCTCGCAGGACGGCCTCGGTAGGCTGGGCACTCCCCCGCCTTGCCAAAGGGTCAATATCGTATTTGAAACAAGGACAGCAGAGCATGTAATCACGTGTAGAATTTAACACACACCTTCTCCTGTAAAACTGATTTAAACAAAAGACACAGAGAAAGAGCTCCGATTTTTTCTTGGTGGAAAAAATTAAAATTTACATGCCAATCAGTTCTCCTTCTAAAAATAAGCTCTATTCATGCCGAACATCTGTCTTAATTCCATTTCTTTTTTGGTTGACAGATTACATACACGGCATGAAAACGAGACCAGCAACGCTAACATTATTGTAAATGGTCTGATGTGAAAGCAAGTTGGAGCTCGTCCTGGGAGAGCCTGCCCAAGCCTCGGTCGTGCGTGGAGAGGCCATGCTTCGTCACTGTAATTAAGAACTGGGTGACTCACTCTCTCACACGATTCTAACGAGCTCACTCTATTTTTATCCCATCCTATTGCTAAAGCAAACTAGGGGACTTTTAATTAATAACATGAACACGGAAAGGTGGAGTAGCTATGCGGTAAGGCTCTGCTTCCCTCCAGGGAAATCTGGCCACCGCTGACGGGTCAAGCCCGTGTCCCCTGCGGCCTTTCAGGCGAGTGAAGGAGAGGTTTGACCGTGGCGCTGCCAATGGACAGGCACGTGCCGCGCCTGCGTGTCCGGAGACGCAAGGGCCAGGAGAACAAGCTGGAACGACAGTGAGGCGCATTTAACTTCAAATGCTCGCGTGACATTCCACTTTCTGCAAAAGCCTCCGGTTCCGTGATCAATAGAATTCCTAAATGGCTAGATTTTGAGTTCCCTGAGAGGAGGTTTGCATTCTCATCTAGAACCTAGCCCTGTGTCTGCTCAGAAAAAGCAGCCAATAAAAAAAATGCTGTGTCAATGAATGAAAGTAACCGGCTTTCTGGACAAGGGGAGCTGTGCAGAGCGAAATGCATTCTATGGGCAAGAAGTGCTCTAGCGAACAATTATAGTATAAACTGTGATTTAAAAAATTCAAATTTGAAGTAAAGCTCCTGACTCATACTTCTCCTTTAATCAATACTTATCCTTGACACTACCAAGGATTATAACAAAGGACGATGAGAAGCCTCTTCGTCTACCCACTAAGATTTAGTTAGCTCCTGCCAAGTGCCAGACTTTCTCGAGGTGCCAGAACGACAGCAAACCCAAAACAAAGCCCTTGTTCCCTGGCGCGGACGCCTGAGCGGGCTATGCACACAGATAGGAAACAATCCACGTGCTGTGAAGAAGGAAATGCAGGTGGAGGAGGACGGAGGGACAGGAGAGGAGCGGGAAGACCCTCTGGATAAGGACACCCTCGCCCTGCTAGCAGAGACCCCTGGGGACGAGACAGCGGCACGCGGGTGCTGGGGAGGAAAGTTCCAGGCACAGGGAAGCAGGCGCAGCATCGCCCGCTG